CTTGTCCAATGACAGTCCAATGTCAACAAAGCCGATACAGAACTGCGCAGAAGGTTGCGCAGAGAAAAACTTCTTGTTTCTGGGTCACAAGTTTTAGCGGCTGTTTCTTACATCTCATCTCCAAAAAAACCTACATATCTCAGCTCAGAAATGACATACAAGCCTAAATGAGGTACCATTGGAAAGAGATTGTTTACAGCTATCTAACTGTGCTGGTTTTATTGGTGTAGAGGGCATTTAAAAAATTTCGCTGAAGTAGCTATTGTAACAATACAGTCAGGCAGCCAAGAAAAAAAGAATAGAATAGAATAACCAACACAGAACTGGGCTCTACTGGCAAATCCGGACGAAGAATAAAAACCCGTGGACGACTTAGTCAGAGTTCTCTCCCTTGGCCGCACTCCAAACAGTGATCGGAAAAGCCACAACGAAACAAACGTCACACTGACCTATCATCCTACGGTTGTGTGTAGGGCTGCGTACGGTTGCGTGAGGCATCGTGAATGGTTGTGTAGTCATCATGCGGTTGTTGGGTTAGAGTTAGGGGTAGGGTTAGGGGTAGGGTTAGGGGTTGGGTTAGGGTTAGGGGTAGGGTTAGGGTTAGATGTGAAAATTTTGACGTAGGATTTCCAAATACTGGCCGACAATCAGATGTTTGTGGGAGTGGCGCCACTGAAACTCTGCCAAATATGACGCCAATAGCGTGCGGCTGGTGCCCCCAATCGTTGGCGAATTGTGCGTTTGACCAGCATCCAGAGGCCCTCGATTGTTTGTGTGTGTGTATGGGACTGTGCGCGATTATAGGGAAATCTGGCGTCAAAATTGTCAAATCTAACGCTAAACCTAACCCTACCGCTAACCCTAATCCTACTCCCTAACCCTAACCCCTACCCACGCAAATTTATCTATCATTAAAGCATACAAATCGGCAAAAGCTAACAAACAAAACACACCCCAAAAAAAAAACCCAGATTTGTCCTGCAGCGTCGAAAAAAAAACCAGATCTGGGGGAAACAACCAAGCATTGGCAGCCCTGATGTCGACGTGACTGTCTTCTTTGTTTCGTTGGCTTTTCCGATCACTGTTGGGAGTGCGGCCAAGGGAGAGAACTCTGACTAAGTCGTCTGGAGAGAACTCTGACTAAGTCGTCCAAGGCTTTTTATTCTTCCTCCGGATTTGCCAGTAGAGCCCAGAACTGGTGTTATCAGTCACCACACGCTGAGGGATATACTGAAGATGGGAATCAGAGCACATGCACCTGTCCAATGTGCCGTGAGTGTGAGGAAATCGGTCGACTAACTAACTAACTTAGTCTAAGTAACTAAGCAAAGGGTCTGAGGTCTCGGTCTACATAGAAAAAAAAACCTGGTTGAAACAAGTAGTGCCCCTGCTGTCCCCTGTCTGCTCCAATTAATGTCTGACACTTGGATACAATTATTATTAGTAGATAGTACGGGGATCATTATTTTATAACAAATTTAACTACATTCACCTGCTGAACTGACTTTTGAAACGCAGTCGGGGTGCCGACTTGTCAGAAATTTTGCACTTATGGAGTAGCAGCCATATTGGTAGCCACAAAACAAGACGCTGAAATTTTGCGGCATTTAATCAGCAAAATAGTATTTTCCTAAAGTCGCTATGTATTAAAATATTAAAAGTAAGGTTTTTTTCTGATAAGCGACCATATATATTTTTTAAATATTTTCTAATAGGCACTAGCACTGTAGAATATCCAAATTATTTTACGACATAAGCCTACAATCCCTCTTTTGAACTCCTTTGGGATGCCAATGCTGAGTTTTTTCCCCAAGATCTTGGTTTTTTTGTTGCCGTCTGGGTTTCTTGGTTTTTATTTTGAAAATTATTGCAAATCTTGGGTTTTCAGTCTTAATGGTGAAAAAAACTACAATTAATAAATATTTTAACAAGAATAATGTGTGTACAGATATCTATAATAGTTTTACCCGCAAATTATATTTTGGAATGTCCTACAAACACTTAAAATAAACTCAGTGTAATTAATGTAACATAATACAAAAGTTAACTCCAGGGCAATCCAGGAAAGATTTAGCAGACCACCAAAGGACCAGATTTACGATCCCCAAGTGGTGGTCCTAAAGTAACAGATACTAGGGGCGGAGATGCAAAATAGATGAAGCCTGGGACTTTTGATCGTAAACTTTACAGAAGAAAGAAGGGGCCTGACATTTAATTATTGAAGAAAGTTTGGAAGGCTTTTCCTATCTTCTAGGGGTTACTAACCTGACATTGTAGTGTCTCATTGGTTGAATTGAAAGAAAGCAGATTAGCAGAAACCAACTAAGGACTACTAGGGAGGGCCGAAGGGACTTTCAGTTCAGTTTTCACTTGTTTTTTTGCTGTGTTGTGGTTTGTTAAACTGTGGTATCAAAATTTACTCTGATTATAACCTTGTTGAATTCAAAATGAGTGAACAGATTACACCATCAAAGAAAAGAAAATGGTATGCTCAGTGTTTCAAAGAGGAATAGCTTACTGAAGCGGAATTTAAAGATTGGCTACAACAGGACAGTAACGATAAGGACTCAAGTTACTGCAAATGTTGTAAAGTTACATTGAAAAATGCAAATAAATCCATGCTAACAAAGCATAAAGATTCTGTGAAATATGTACGAAATTTTGAGTCTGCTAAAGAAAGTGTAAATATAACTCGATTTTTAAAAAAAGAAACATCTACAGAAAGTAAACAGATAGCAAAGAGTGAGGTCATGTCTGCTGCGTATTTCGCTGAGTACAATGTTCCATTCGCTAATATTGACCATCTCCTAAGCGTCTGCAAAGTGGCATTTCCCGACAGCAAAATTGCTGTAAAGTTATCCATGAAAAGAATAAAACTGTCTTATGTCATTCAAGATGGAATAGCTTTTCATGAAAAGCAGGCAGTGACTGAGATCTGTCAAAAACAAAAGTTTTGTATAATAATTGATGAAAGCACAGACATCCCAGTCACTCAGATCTTAGCAGTAGTAGTTCGATATTTTGATTTCAACAAACAAGATGTTGTGGACGCTCTTTTGGATAGTGTTGTTGTTGAAGATGGGACCGCTGTTGGCTTGTATGATGCCGTTAAGTCATTGCTGAATGAGAATAATATTCCTATTGGAAATATAATAGGATTCGGAAGTGATAATTGCTCCTCTATGATGGGGGAAAAAAGTGGCTTTCAAAAATTGCTAAAAAGTGATGTTCCCTCGGTTTTCATCATGGGATGCGTGTGTCATTCTTTTGCTTTGTGTGCCAGCCATGCTGTCAATATTTTACCTTCATAATTAGAAGCGTTCTTGAAAAATGTTACTGCATATTTTTCACGCAGCAGCAAAAGACAGCGTGACTTCACCCTTATTCAAGAAGCAGCGAATGCTCCACTCCATAAAATCCCCAAACTATCACAGACAAGATGGCTATCCAGGGAGAATGTAATTTCAGCTATTCTGAACCAATATCCTGCCTTACTGTTATATTTTCAAAGTGAGTCAAGAACGGACAAAATTGACGGAGCAAACGAGATCTTCCGAACCTTAAGTGATGGCGGTACAAAACCCATTTTACTGTTCCTTCAGTATATACTACAAAAAGTGAATATGCTAAACATAGAATTTCAGTCTGAGCAATTTAGGCTGCATCTTTTGTATTCAATGGTCACATCTGAATACAAAAATATATTAAGTTGTTTCATTAAAGATGAAGTTTTACATACAGCTAAATTGGAAGAAATTGATCCAAACATTTTAAGCAACCATAAGAATCTAAAGGACATATATCTAGGAGGAAAAACATCGGCGCATTTCATAAATGAACCTTTTGATGAATACAAGGAAACAAGATTTAAAAATGACTGTTTGAAATTTCTCGTTGAACTTTGTAATCAGTTCAAGAAAAGATTTCCCTTCAGTGAGGACAGCTTGATTGCAAAGTTTAATGTACTAACTAGATCCCAAAATATCGTGTAATCAAATGATCTCTCCGTCATCCATTATTCCACTTGCAGTTCATTTTCCTTCACTCATATCTGAACAAAGTTTCAATGATTTAGATGATCAGTGGAGAAGCTATCGTGTGAATGCTGCAAGTTTACCAATTGCTTCAGAGAACATTCCGCAGTATTGGTACCAATTGAGAAGCATTAAAGATGGCTTGCAAAATGTAAAATATGACATTTTATCCGCTTTTATGACCAACCTCACTATTTTGCCTCACTCGTCAGCTGCAGTTGAACGCATATTTTCCCTGATGAACTGTATCAAAACTAAACAAACTAATTCTCTGAAAGCAGACACCGTAAAAGATCGAATTCTTGCAAGGCAAGCAATCACAAGAGGAAATAGCGACTGCACGACATGGACACCTAATAAAGAATTGCTAAAAGAATTGCAAAGTGGCGCAGTTAGTCAAAGATATTTAAACAGAATGAAAACACAGAAAGAGACGGTGACAATTGAAATTTGTGAAGAAGGAGAGCTGTTAGAGTAACAATTTAATAAAGGTGAGTATATGTTCAGTGTTTCATAACTATAAAATACTTTTTGTACAGTGCTGGGTTTTTTATTTTATTTTTTGTTCATATCTTGGGTTTTCGTCTGCCCATCTGGGTTTTTGACAAAAATCTCATTGGCAGCCCTGCCGCCGTTCCCTCAATCCTCATAAAACCAAAAATGGCGGCACCCTTGTTTAAGTTAATTACATTTCTTCATTGACATTGAAACCAGTTGCGCTGTTTTCTTCTTCTCTTCGCGAAACACTACATAACCTTATAATTTAACAGCTAATTCACCTGCATCCATTGTAATATAGCGGAATCTAAAGCAATTATTACAAGTTGATCGGATCGTCGTCACCAGTCACTTGCTCCTTCATCATCAACTTTCATAGATTATATTATAGCAGACGTTTGTTGATTAGTTCGAAAGTTGAATTTTAAATTTTAATTTAGTAAGTTGCACGCATATCGAAATCTTAAAATGACTCATCCAGTTGCCTTGACAGCAACAACATCATATAGAATAGCTGCACGGTATTTCTCAACTTCTTATGTACTATGCGGTAGAAAGCCAAATATACAGAGACCAAGAATCCCTGGAACAGAAAGGCGAATATTAGATGCAGTAACGGTGCCTGTATTACCTCCTGACACGAGACCACTGCCCCAACAATGTTTTGATGCCCTTGAACTCAAGAGACAGGCTAACACTTCAGAGGTACGTATTAAATTATATTAGTTGCTTTTTCTCGTTTCATACGGCTCTACTGGCAAATCCGGACGAAGAATAAAAAGCCTTGGACGACTTAGTCAGAGTTCTCTCCCTTGGCCGCACTCCCAACAGTGATCGGAAAAGCCACAACGAAACAAACAACACACTTACCTATCATCCTACTGTTGCGTGTAGGGCTGCGTACAGTTGCGTGAGGCATCGTGAAGGGATGCGTGGTCATCATATGGTTGCGTGCAGGGTTGCGTACGGTTGCGTGAGGCATCGTGAATGGTTGTGTAGTCATCATGTGGTTGTTGGGTTAGAGTTAGGGGTAGGGTAGGGTTAGGGTTAGATGTGAAAATTTTGACGTAGGATTTCGAAATACTGGCCGACAGTCAGATGTTTGTGGGAGTGGCACCACTGAAACTCTGCCAAATATGACGCCAATAGCGTGCGGCTGGTGCCCCCAATCGTTGGCGAATTGTGCGTTTGACCAGCATCCAGAGGCCCTCGATTGTTTGTGTGTGTGTATGGGACTGTGTGCGATTATAGGGAAATCCGGCGTCACAATTGTCAAATCTAACGCTAAACCTAACCCTACCGCTAACCCTAATCCTAATCCTACTCCCTAACCCTAACCCCTACCCCTAACCACGCAAATTTATCGATCATCAAAGCATACAAATCGGCAAAAAACCAACAAACAAAACACACCCCAAAAAAAAAACCCAGAATTGTCCTGCAGCGTCGAAAAAAAACCCAGATCTGGGGGAAACAACCAAGCATTGGCAGCCCTGATGTCGACGTGACTGTCTTCTTTGTTTCGTTGGCTTTTCCGATTACTGTTGGGAGTGCGGCCAAGGGAGAGAACTCTGACTAAGTCGTCCAAGGCTTTTTATTCTTCGTCCGGATTTGCCAGTAGAGCCTTTCATACTTACTCTACTTTACTACTTTTGTTGGCTATCCTCTGAATAACGGTCCCACATTATGGAGGCTGAAAATATACCCAAACTGGGCCTCAGTCACATGTAAATTGCAGACCTCTTCCGGTGACTACACAGCATACCGCTGAGAGTATCTCCCGCGCCGCTACGTGCGGCCCGGAGTGGGGCTAAACTAGATAGCTGTGACTCACAAGCAAATAAAATGCAGGAAGCTGCATGAGATGTGGTAGCTGCTGCTCATGAGTCCCAGCCATCTAGTTTAGTCCTGCACCACACGTAGCAGCGCGGGAGATACTCTCGGCAGTGACTTTAACTTGGCAAAAGCTTTTTCGCGGTATGTTGTGTAGTCACCGGGGGAGGTCTGCATTTTACATGTGACTGAGGCCCTGTTAGGGTATATTTTCGGCCTCAATAATTTGGGACGGTTATTCGGAGGATAGTTCTTTTGTTTACTGGGTTTATTTTTAAATTTTGTGGTACTATGTGTTTATTCACCCATGATGTTTTGATTATTAAATTATGAAAATACTTTTATACTTGCTTCAACTCTTTTAGTACCAAACAATGCATAATATGGTACTAATACTTTCTTGTGACTGACAGATTTACGATCTCATTTTCATTGTTTGAATGAAATTCTTTATCATACTACAAAAATTGTATCTGCTTGCAGAACCTGACCCAGACAGATGCATGCTTTGTTAACCTGTGAATCTGAATTATTAATTTAACTATTTTTATCCTAAAGATTCTATATTTAACGCTATAAGACTAAGTATATATTATTTTTAAGCTCAGATCTTTACAGTAGAAAGTGTTCACTCTTTCAGGCCCAAGAATTTTGACAGACTTGGACCATATTAATTTCCGTTTGCAAAAATGCAGAGAAAGGCAAAAGAGAATGTAATGTAATATACTTCTAATCACTATAAAAGTATATAAATATATTTTTTAAAGAAATGTGAATGTACATTTTTAATCTGATGATAAATGTATGTTTAATTTTGTTATAGTTAGTAGGAAAGAAGAATTGAGCAGGTGTTAATTTTACAACAATATTTTATTAACAAATTCTTCACTTACCATGGTTTTGCAACCACAAGAGTAGTGAATCCAAATTTGAGAACAAAACTTCAAAGTTTGTTCAATTTCCTAACAAATTCAAAAGTTATGATGAGTTTCTGGGTTAGTTTAGCACTCAGGGGCTCTTAGTTCTCACAGTGTGGGTAGCAAACTTTCTGAGAAAATGGGCCATTACACACACACTATTTACTTTGTAAAGTTATATACAGACTGTAGCTGCAAAAAGTAACAGCTGCATGGGACTTTTAAAAAAATTCATCTCATATAGAAGTTAGAAAAATCCAGTGGTTCCTTATTCAAGTCAGCACCTGAAATATATATATACAAATTATTGTTTTTGTTAAACTAATTGGTTGCTGAACTTTGGAGCATCACTCAAGACTTGAGGGTAAGGCAGGATTAGTAGTTAACCAGACAACATTGAGTTCCATCAGTGTGAGGGCTGTTGAGGAGTGGGACAGAGTTAATGTGGGCTTATCCTGAATGATGTGACGCAGATGAGCACAGTTATTAAGAGACATGTTTAGTTTATTCAGTACCAGACTGCCTAAACATTTGTTTGTTTCAGTAAATCTTTCAATTGATGCAGCCCGTGTGAGTTTTTTTTTTTTTGGGGGGGGGGGGGGGGGGGATGGAATTAAACCACACATTGTGTGGGCATATTGTCAGTATACAGTGTAAAGAGGAACTAATTAGGGTATAGTGAAGCTAGAAATGTTTGACCTCCCCATGTGAGTTCCAGTGCCCTATTGTGGGGATACCAAGAACTGACCCACTGCCTACCCAAAAGCATGTTATGAGAGTTGACCAATTGGGAGCTTTCTTGCAAGCTGTAGGCTCCAGCGCATAGTTCTGGTTGTTCCTCCGCTTCTGCACTTTAGTCTTGTTCTAGAACCTGAGTGTTGTGCGCACATCTGTTATACAGATGTTTCTTATTTGTATGCAGATTGTTGGTTCCTTGCCTCTCAGGCAGATGCACTCTTGACTTTAAAGGAAGCTCCCAGTTGGTCGACTTTTACAACACACCTGTTGGGGAGGCAGTGGGTCTGTTCTTATTTTTCCTTGTAAAGGGGCCTCAGAACCCATACAGGAAGTTCAAGCTACTAAAAAATGCATTCTAGGCCAAGATTGGCCTTATCAGCCATCTTCATGCCGATAAGTCCCCTTCTACCACTAGCGGATAAAGGAACTGGTCATCGTCACTTGTGATCTTTTTGTTAAAGTCCATGCGATGTGGCTTTTGTAGTCATGTCTATCCACAACCTTCAGTCTTGTGTACTTTCAGTTAACTCTGATATAGATGTTCAGAGTGTTTTCTCTTGTTCTTCTTCAAGACATCTTTATAATTCTTTTTATCTGTCCAGAGTATTCTCATCATTCATCTATATAACCACATTTCTGCAGCTTTCAAATAAGTTTTCACTAATTTACTAACTGTCCGTGATTCTATTCAGTTGTATGGTCGTTGACCACAGGGCAGATGAAGAAGACAGTAAAGAGATAATATCCAGACAGACCTGCAAACACTTGGTGTCACCAACTGGAAAGAGAAGACCAACCAGAGAGATGAATGGAGGCAGATGATATTTGCAGCAAGAAACCTCCAGGGGTGTGGAATGCTGAAGAAGAAGAATAACTAGAGCAATAGAAGAAGGAGAAGAGTCAGCAGTTGCTATAAAATCATTTTTGGCCTGTTTCAGTTGGGTGCAGCTTACCTGGCATTTCGCCTCCAGCAGGCAATAAAAATGTTCAACGAGAACACCATGGTGGTCATTTGCCATAATATTCCCCTGATACCGCGTGACGCTTTCAGAGTCAAGGCCAAGATTGTGACAGCTGGCATGAAGATTATGTTTGCCAGGAACGACATAGCACAGTGAGTTCCTATTTTTGTGATGAGTTAGTGTTGGGGGGGGGGGGGGGGGGCGATTATATAGCACAGTGAGTTCTTATTTTTGTGATGAGTTAGTGTTTGGGGGGCGATTATATAGCACAGTGAATTAATGTTAGTCAGCACAGTGTGTTTCTGGATGTTTGTGTGAAATTATATAGCACAGTGAGTTATTGTGTTTCTGACTGTCAGTGAGAAATTATCTAGCATAGTGAGTATTGTGTTTCTGACTGTCAGTGTGAAATTATATAGCACAGTGAGTTATTGTGTTTCTGACTGTCAGTGTGAAATTATATAGGACAGTGAGTTATTGTGTTCCTGACTGTCAGTGAGAAATTATCTAGCACAGTGAGTATTGTGTTTCTGACTGAGATATTATCTAGCACAGTGAGTTATTGTGTTTCTGACTGTCAGTGAGAAATTATATAGCACAGTGAGTATTGTGTTTGTGAGAAATTATGTGGCACAGTGAGTTTATGTGTTTCTGACTGTCAGTGAGAAATTATCTAGCACAGTATTGTGTTTCTGACTGTCAGTGAGAATTTATATAGCACAGCGAGTTATTGTGTTTGTGAATGTTTGTTAGAAATTATGTAGCACGGTGAGTTATTGTGTTTGTTAATGTGAGAAATTATAAAGCACAGGGAGTTAATGTGTTTCTGACTGTCTATGAGAAATTATATAGCACAGCAAGTATTGTGTTTCTAAATGTTTGTGAAAAATTATATAGCACAGTGAGTTATTATGTTTGTGAGAAATTATAAAGCACAGTGAGTTAATGTGTTTCTGACTGACTGACTGAGAAATTGTATCTTCTGAGCCCTATGATTTGCATGCCTGTGATTCTCATGGTTAACATGCTAAAAAGTATGAGGGATGAAGTTGAACTTACACCTGCAGGCGGGGGTGTACAGTTGTTTCAGATGCTCGGCTACCAAATTTAAAGATTAAACAGCATTAAAAGTTTATGTTTGAGTGCCAGCGAGGAAATCAAAGTTGAAATTTTGAGATCATGCATCTTCCCTGTACCCACATATGGATGTGGATCATAGACTATCTCTCAGTCCTTAAGGAAGAAAATATGAGCTTTTAAGTTGTAATGCTACAGAAAGAATGTCAAAAAACTGTGGACAAAGAAGAGGAGAAATACTGACTTTCTAAAAGATCTGAATATCAAGTAAGATTTGCTAATAAACAGCATCATGTCTCAGAAGCTGAAAAATCCTAGAAGTCTGTAGATGGTCTTAACTAATCGACAATGACTGCTATAGTAGACCAATCTGCTCCCTTTTTTCTTCACTTATACATTCACAAATTCTGTTAAAATGATATATACCTTTTTATTTCACAGGAAAGCCATCGCAGGCACACGACTGAGGAATCTTGAGCCATTTCTTGTTTCAGATAATGTGTACATTGTCAGTGACAAAAACCTGATTCCTGAACTTGTTGCTTTACTGAAGAAGACACCAGAATTGCAGCTTTTAGGTACGCCATTTGCCATTATTTTTGTCTTGCACTCAGATTCATGTTTCTTTCCGACCTCATTCCCATATTCATGCTCTCTGAGTCAGTAACAGTCATTGCATGTGTGTACAGCTGATTCTCAAGCCAGCGGAAGGCAGCAGTGACTGCCTGCACCTCCATTCTTGGACTAGATGTTGTGATATCAAATGCAAGGCTTTGTTGCACTAAGCAACATCCATTTGCTTTTACTATAAACCCCTATGCGCTTTGTTTGCCTCTTAGCACAGAGCCATCTGTATAGATAATCATATCACTTGTTTGGGAATTGCCATGAATTATTTGTTGAACTTCTAATTCAGTCAGAAGCTGGCCAATCTCTGCAGTCACGACCTAAAGTGATTAGAACCCTTCACAAGTCTGAAACTTGCTTGGACACCTTGAACCACTCCTCTCTAACTTACCCTATATACACCAGGGAGATGAATGGTTGTAGACCACGAGGCAGACCAACAAGACTATGGAGAGATAATATCCAGACAGACCTGCAAACACTTGGTGTCACCAACTGGAAAGATAGGGCCAACCAGAGAGATGAATGTATTCGGGTGATATTTGCAGCAATGAACCTCAAGTGGTCGGAATGCTGAAGAAGAAGAAAAAGACTGCTGGTTATTGCGATGACTTTCTATTGTCTTCTGGCTCTAGTGAGTCATTGCACGCTTCCATTCACCGACTGACAACACACGAGAAAACGTGGACGCTGTCGAACGATCCAAATTACACGTACAGTTTATTAGTTCACTCGCTGGTATTGCAGCCAGTAAATGTTAATGGACAACATAGTCACTTAATTATCTAACATGTCAACTTTACCTTATAATCTTAACATCCATCTCACAATTGAATGAACAACAACGATTCCTTCCGATCAAAAACACAAAACATTCTCAGCTGGCTATGACTTCGGTTCGCCGCAACTGATGGCCAGGTAGGCTTTGGAAAACCACTGTGCAGACACGTCGGACTTAAACACTCTTTCTGGATCCCGCAGACATTCCATCATTCGTCATGTATTCATTTCCTAGGCCTAAACAAGACTGACTCCCAGCCCTTTCTACGGCATTAAATAGCCGTCACACATGATGATCCCCCATAGAACCCGCCCCATATTATTTTTCAAAAAAAAAAATATATACATAGGGACCCCACCTTATATATTTTTTGAAAAATAATATGAGTGTATTTTAGATAGGACATATTTGTGACTGTGGCGCAAGCCACGCTACCTTTAAAAAAAAATTCAGATATCTAACATGTATTATATCTTAAAATGACAACTTGAAAATAACATTGTATATTAGAAAAAAGGTATATTAGAAAGTATATATTTGCGGCATCCATCACCTTTTAAAAAAATTAAAAATTTAGATATCTTGTAATATAATAATTCGGAATTACAACAAACATAATCGGCAATCCCCGAAATGATATTCTGCAAAGGTTTGTTTTGATCAATTAAAATCTTCAAAACCAGTCACGTGACTGTTGCTGGGTGTTGCTAACAAAACAAACCTTATTTGCTGTTAAGAGAGGACCACATTTCAATTTAATCTCTTGTACTGGCAAGACTGTTAATTATGGCATCGTCTCAAGAGGATATGTTAATTGATTCAGAAAATTCTTCAACAGGAGTATCAGAGGATATACATGAACCACCATGTGATAATAATAATTTAGAACATTCACAGGAAGATTATACTCAAACTGAAGAAGACGATTGGGACTACAGTGATCTTAACAGTGAAGAACTTAAACAGGTTAAAGAACATATTGTATTTCACGAAGAACATCTGAAATATTTCTTAGACTTGGAGGAAAAACTGAAAACCAAATATATCGGTGATGTTAGTTCTTATCATAATGAGGCTATGAAAAAATTACCCAAACGCCCAAAACAAATGTGTTTGTCAACTCAACAGAAAGTGAAGAAACCTCAGTTAGTGAAAGAGCTTACTAAACTGACTGGAATAGAACTTCTAAACGAATTGGAAAAACATTTGATGGTTATAGAAGTGCATGAGTATAAAACCATTCCGGATTTCAAACCAGACGAAAGTGATGTGAAATCAATTGAAAATATCCTATGTGAAGGAGAAAAATGTTTAAAACAAAATAACTCATGTTCCCTGTTGGATGTGGTAAAATATGGAATGTGGTTAAACAGGCTTAGTGAAATCAACTTTGGAGGGTTTCAGAAATTTGTCAAAGAAAAACTGAAGTATTCACCAAGGTGGATTCGAAAAGTTCGTCAAATGGCAAAATTATTTACAAAGTTTAATAAACTGCAAAATCTTGATATTTTTGTGACAGAAGCGATAAGTATTACCCCAGCACTTAAAAAAGCTTTTGCACAAAATCCTGCGCTGAAAAACTCTTGGAAGTGATTTTGTTTACCTGTTGCTATGTGTAACTAATGAGCGGTCTTCAAGGACCGCTGTCAATGATAATTTCGAATTTCAAAGTTTTGACAAAGACGATTTTATTTACCTGTTGCTATGTGTAACTAATGAGCGGTCTTCAAGGACCGCTGTCAATGATATATTGAAGAATAAAACTGCTGTGCGTATGTATTTACACTATGGTAATATTATATTGACTCTGACTAGCTATGTTGTCCTATTATATGTTAAAATGGTTGATTCTGGAATGAAATTCTATATCAAGATATGTTTATGATTTTGAACTGATGATGTTAATAAAATAAAATTAGTGTTAACACAATCAGTAATTCTCAATCATCAAAATTTCGTGTGTGATTTTGTTTAGTGTGTGTGTTCTCAAACATTTTTTTTCAATGATTCTCAAAATATTAAAAAATCAGTGATTCTCAAAATATTAAAAATCAGTGATTCTCAAAATATTAAAAATCAGTGATTCTTAATTTATAAAAAAAAAAATCAGTGATTTTCAAAATATTAAAAAATCAGTGATTC